TGGATAGGCTGCAGTCTATATTGATGCCGCCCCGCGCATTGGGACAGTCCCTGTTTTCCCGCCCTTTTTTGCCTTGGGGCAGCTGGGAACTGTAGTCCAACAGATTAGGAAGCCCCATTCAACCCAGTGTCCCTACAGGCCCCTCTCTGGAACTACAACTCAATTAAACCTTATGGCGCAACATTTTAAACGGACAGCCACAGACAGCAGCCATCTTACAAACACAGATGACTGCCACTTCGTTACACCTACCAACAGCCTGAGGGAAAAGTTACTCCCAGTACCTGGCTGACCTTGGGCAAGCCGTAGTTCTGATAAGAGCTGTTCTTGAAAAACAGTACTTTCTGTCAGAGCTCTCCCAGCCTCACCTACCTCGCAGGGTGTCTGTTGTGGGGAGGCGGAGGGAAAGGACCTTGTAAGCCACTCTGAGACGCCCTTGGGTAGTGAATAAAAGGTAAAGGTTCCCTTGCTCGAAAGCCAGTCGAATCCGACTCTAGGATTGCGGTGCTCATCTCCGTTTCAAAGCTGAAGAGCCAGTGCTGTCTGAAGACATTTCCGTGGTTATGTGGCCGGCATGACTAAACACCAAGGCACACGGAACGCTGTTACCTTCCCACTGAAGTGGTACCTATTTATCTACTTGCAATTTCTTGCTTTCTAACTGCTAGGTTGGCAAGAGCTGGAACTAGAGACCTCACTCCGTCATGCGGCACCCTGGTCTTGAACTGCTGAACTACCGACCTTCCAGTCTGTAGTTCAGCATCTTAACCACTTGAGCCACTGCAGCAGGGTAGTGAATGGCGGGGTATAAATCCAATCTCTTCTCTCTTCTTCTTCCCACACAGGAGGCAAGCAGAAGTTTCTTTGTCAAGACAGAAAGCCATTTGCCAGGAATTCTATCAGGGCAGAGTGGCTGAAGGGGGAGTGGGCGGGGAACAGACCCAGCACCTGGCCAATGGCAGGGGAGTACTCTTCAGTGGTGGCTGGGCCAATGGCTGAGGGCAAGCATGGAATGTGGCCACCCCAAAACAGGATTATAATATAGAGAGATAAGCTTTGGTGTGGAAGCACACTTATACAGATATGAAGCTTATACCTTGAAATGCAAGCACACTTCTTCAGATCTGAAACTTATACCCTGAATAAGACTTCGTTAGTCTTAAAGGTGCCACTGGACTCAAACGTTGTTCTGCTGCTTCTGCCAATACAGCTACCCACCTAAATCTATGTGGAGTAAAATAGCTCTGGAGTTCGCTCTTCTTTCCGATGAACGACTCAATGTAAAGATAACGTAAAAATATACGACAAATTTGTAGGCAAGAATCTACAAAACTGTGCAAAGCATAACTGATTGGACGATGCTGGAGGGCCCCTTATCACAGACAGCCATGCAGTCTTCTAGAATCCCAAACGCTAAATAAGCCGTCAGAAGAACATCTGCACCAGCCGTATTCTCTCAAGCGTTCTGTGAAACACGAAAATCAAACATCTCGCGAGACTCGATAACAGAGCTGGGCGAAAACGACCGTCGCCACACCCCACATCAATTTTCACGCTCAGCTCTGTATAACTAACCGAAACGTGATAGTTCCCTGAAAGGGACGCAGCAACGAGAAGGGCACAATAGGCGCAAAGGCATACGCGAAGGCTGGCAGGAAAGATCGCGGTTGAGACTACGAACCAAATGCTGAACTAATAGGGGAAGCAGGAACAGAGCGGTAAGTACGTGGTGACGCAATTCTCATCCGTGTCAGTTGGGACAGATAGCCAATCACGTTGCGCAGCGGAGAATTTCGAACGAGCGGGAAGCGGAGGAGGAGGGAGGAAAAACAAAAACGGCTAAACGGCTGTTCGGGGGCCTTGTGCGGCGCGTGCGGAGTGGCGCCGGCGCAGCTAAGGTAACGCACAGAGAACGAGCGAGAGCAACAGCAAGGGCAAGTGATCGGGCGCGTGGAACTGTCAGCGGGCGTTTCATGGGTTCGGTTGACTATTTCGTATAATTTGCGAGGTGGCTTATGGGTGGGAGGTTGTTAAAGGCCGGGGGGGGGGTGGGGGGGTTGTAAACAGCCATATTGGCCCACGCAAAATCCGCAAAGGAGAACAAAATCCGTATTTTTAATAGCTGTGATTAGGATCATCCCCATTGGAACTGAGGTCGAAAGCTTGCACAATGCTACGTTTCATTTGGGTAGTTCTACTGAAAGGTGTGAGGCCATCTCTTACTCGGGAGGTTAAGGGGAGGGGTCGGGGCAAGGCAAGGGCCGGGTGTTCCGCCATGTTGTTTACATGGGAGGTTGATACCTTGTTGCTGATGGCAGCACTTTCTTCAGCGGTGTCGTCTGGAGATTTAATGGGGACGTCATCACCCCGGGCCCGGTTGGGGAAACGGCTTAACGTTTGCCTCAGGTTCTGGAACAAAATGAGAAATGAAAATGTTTTGACTATACCTTCCCGTTTGTTTATACCTTTGGCTCCCTTTCCGTTTATTGTGTGTGTGTGTCATTGTATTTTGATATCCAGTTATACTAGATTTAGGGATGCCAGCCCCCAGGTGTCACCTGGGGAAACCCAGGAATTACATGCTATTGTACCCCACTAAGATCCCTGTCCTTCCCAGGCTCCATCCCCAAATCTCCAGAAATTTCCCAGCTGGCATCTGGCAACCCTCCCCCCCCCCCCGGGGGGGGGAACCAGGCAACCCTAATTTGCATGTATTTTGTGTGCTAACACCTTGAGGCTTGTTAACTATCAAGATGCTCTCTGTGGGGCTAATCAAACTATGGTATTTTTTTCATTGAGTCATGGTGATTGAAGGGAACCGTCACATTTAGAGGTAGTAAACCTCTAAATGTCAGAGGTGATACTAGGGAAACTGGCCTTTTTGCCCTGTTTGTTGGCTTTTCAAAGATAACTAATTAGCTGCTGAATTAAGTGCACCACTGGAGTGTTTAAGTAGGTCTTTGGTAATGTTAGTTAACATTCATCAGTTGGTGCCCTGGAAGTAACATTTTTTTAAAAAATGGTTGTGAGAGAGAGACACAACATTACTGTAGCTTCTTGGGACAAGTTTTGGACAGGGTATTTAATGAGACTATATTGCATGTTTTGGCCTTCAGCTTTACCAGGCTAAGATAAGGTTTGCAGTTAGTACCGAGGCACAGAAAAAGTCCAAAAGCAAAAATTGTGCAATACCTCTTTCCCAGATCAACCACATTTCCCAGAGTGTTAGATGGTTGTAAAATCACCAGGCCCAGATGGCATACAAAAATCACCAGGCCCAGATGGCATACATCCAAGAGTTCTGAAAGAACTCAATTGTGAACTTGTGGATCTCCTGACAAAAATATGTAATCTCTCCTTAAAATCAGCCTCCATTCCTGAGGACTGGAAGATAGCTAATGTCACTCCCATCTTTAAAAAGGGTTCCAGAGGAGATCCGGGAAATTACAGGCCAGTCAGTCTGACGTCGATACCGGGTAAACTGGTGGAAACCATTATTAAGGAAAGAATTAGTAGGCACATAGATGAACAAAACCTATTGAGGCAGACTCAACATGGGTTCTGTAAGGGAAGATCTTGTCTCACTAACCTGTTAATGTTCTTTGAGGGGGTGAACAAACATGTGGACAAGGGGGATCCAATAGATATTGTTTACCTTGACTTCCAGAAAGCTTTTGATAAAGTTCCTCATCAAAGGCTCATAAGTAAGCTCAAAAATCATGGGATAAAAGGACAAGTCCTTTTATGGATCAAAAACTGGCTTATTAATAGAAAACAGAGAGTGAGTATAAATGGGCAGTTCTCCCAGTGGAGGGGGGTAAGCAGTGGGGTACCACAGGGATCAGTACTTGGTCCACTGCTTTTTAACTTGTTCATTAATGATTTGGAGTTGGGAGTAAGCAGTGAAGTGGCTAAATTTGCGGATCACACGAAGTTGTTCAGGGTGGTGAAAACCAGTGAGGATTGTGAGGCACTCCAAAGGGATCTGTCAAAGTTGGGCGAGTGGGCGTCAACATGGCAAATGGGGTTCAATGTGGCCAAGTGCAAGGTGATGCACATTGGAGCCAAAAATCCTAAATATAAATACACGTTGATGGGGTCTGAACTGGCAGAGACTGATCAAGAGAGAGATCTTGGAGTTGTAGTAGATAACTCACTGAAAATGTCGAGACAGTGTGTGACTGCAATAAAGAAGGCCAATGCTATGCTGGGGATTATTAGGAAGGGTATTGTAAACAGATCAGCCAATATCATAATGCCGCTATATAAATCAATGGTGCGACCTCATCTGGAATACTGTGTGCAATTCTGGTCACCACACCTTAAAAAGGATATTATAGCTTTGGAAAAAGTGCAGAAAAGAGCAACTCGAATGATAAAAGGGTTGGAACACTTTCCCTATGAGGAAAGGTTAAGGCGCTTAGGGCTCTTTAGCTTGGAGAAACGACGACTGAGGGGTGACATGATTGAGGTTTATAAGATTATGCATGGGAAAGAGCAGGTAGAGAAAGAGGTACTTTTCTCCCTTTCTCACAATACAAGAACCCGTGGGCACTCCATGAAATTGCTGAGCGGTCGGGTTAGAACGGATAAAAGGAAGTACTTCTTCACCCAAAGAGTGATTAACACTTGGAATTCACTGCCACAGGAAGTGGTGGCAGCTACAAGCATGGACGGCTTCAAAAGGGAATTAGATAAGCATATGGAGCAGAGGTCCATCAGTGGCTATTAGCCACAAGGTATAGATAGGGACTCTGGGGCAAGTGATGCTCTGTCATCTTGGTGCTTGGGGGGGGTCAACAGTGGGAGGGCTTCTAATGTCCTGGCCCCACTGGTGGACCTCCTGATGGCACTGGTATTTCTGGCCACTGTGGGATACAGAGTGTTGGACTGGATGGGCCTTTGGCCTGATCCAACATTGGCATCTCTTATGTTCTTATGTTCTTAGGTATAGTCCCCAAAAAACAAACAAACAAAAAATACAAGATAACTTGAACCTTTCACTGTGATGCCTTTTCAGATATGTTTAGTATGAGTAACCTTCTGGTGGAAAAGTTGTATTCAGCTCACAGAAGCCTGTTTGTACTGGAGGAAATTTCTGCCATTGGTAGAATGGATTCTTTGGATCCAACCCTTAGTTTTTTCCAATTATTCAAACCTTAGGTCCAGGTATTTCTAAATTCAGTAAGGTTTTGCATGTAAGAATTTTATAGAGATGAGACTCAATAATACTTTCATTAAAAATCCTAAAATGTAATTCTATTCTTGTATTTTTAAGGCAGAACATGGCTAGAGAAAAGTGCTTGAAAAAGTCATTTAAGGACACCCTGGAAGACATAAAAGAACGCATGAAAGAGAAGAGAAATCAAAGACTGGCCAAGCTGGGCAGATCATATGTTTTGGGCAAATCAACCTCCATCCTGTCTACCAAGGGTAAAATTGCAGGTAAATGTTTTAATAATTTGCTTATGTTTTCCCAGAATTTGGAGTGTCAAAATTTAAACATTTCCAATTTCTTTCAGATGACTCTTCTGTGCAGCTGAAAAACTTCCAAGCAAACAATAGAGCATTAGCTCTGGCTTTACAAGAGGAGAAAAGCAGAATGAGAGAAGCACAAGATATTATTCTGTACTTAAAGAGAGAATATCAATCGCTGAAGTTTCAGATGCTCGTCTTGCAAAGGAAGGTTGAGTTGCAACAAGAAAGAGAACATGTTGAGGTAATTTTTTAATGTCAGGTGATAGACATCCACACACACGTGTCATCTTAATCAGTTAGACCTCATATTGTATCATACTGGTTTTAATCCAGGCTTAGAATTTCTTACTTTTTTATGCTGGGGGAAGAACAGACTCCAGTTGGCAAAGGGGCCTATATTCAGACATCACAGCAAATTGGAGCTTAATCAAATGGGGAAGTGTTCAGTTGTGTTCTGTTCAAAAAGGAGAGAGGGCGTGTGTAAGCCATGCAATATCTGTAATTGTGCCTAACTGGAATTTAACCACAGTTTATTGTGATGTCTGAATGCAGCCTATAACCCTGCTTCTGTTATTTTTTTAAGTCATTCTTTTTGAAGTATTTCACAATTCTTCAAAGTGTCCAGAAGTTATAGAGCTTAAAGTAAGGAGCAGGCAAAAGTGTATAAGATTAGGCTATTAAGAAATCTGGTGCTTTAACCTTTCAAGGAAAGTAGGTAAGAATAGAGATTTGTCCCCTGTTAGGTTTATATCTGAAAGAGCATGTTGACTAGAAGAATGTTAGTGGTCTGAGTTTTTTTCCTCCTTTGTACACTGTAACAACTGGAGTATTTGATTTTTATTTTCAATTAGACTAGATTATTGATGGTGAAGAAGATTATTTCTAAAGCTGTTCAAAACCTCCTTGAGGCAACTAATCTTCTTGATCCAGCAAAGGATTTATATATCCCAGAAGATGTAAGTTTGTCTTTTTGCCATCTTGTATTTGTGGATTTTAGAGTTTGTTTATGAGTTCAATCTATGAAAATATTAGCTTATGTAGAAAAATCAGAGCTATATATTTTTTAAAAAAATCCTGAAAATACCCAGTGTTTTCTTGATCTTTCTCAATCATGTTTGGCAAACACCGCCAACTTCTCTCTTCCTATCTGTATTAAGTTTATTTACATAAGTAACATGAGCCCCTGATTAGATAAGACAAATGGAGGAAGTAGATAGTTGAGGAGAAATTAGCTTGTTCAAGCCACTTCAGGTTTGGTGTCTTAGAGGGCATGAAGCACATAGATGAACAAAACCTATTGAGGCAGACTCAGCATGGGTTCTGTAAGGGAAGATCTTGTCTCACTAACCTGTTAATGTTCTTTGAGGGGGTGAACAAACATGTGGACAAGGGGGATCCAATAGATATTGTTTACCTTGACTTCCAGAAAGCTTTTGATAAAGTTCCTCATCAAAGGCTCCTAAGCAAGCTCAAAAATCATGGGATAAAAGGACAAGTCCTTTTATGGATCAAAAACTGGCTAATTAATAGAAAACAGAGAGTGAGTATAAATGGGCAGTTCTCCCAGTGGAGGGGGGTAAGCAGTGGGGTACCACAGGGATCAGTACTTGGTCCACTGCTTTTTAACTTGTTCATTAATGATTTGGAGTTGGGAGTAAGCAGTGAAGTGGCTAAATCTGCGGATGATACGAAGTTGTTCAGGGTGGTGAAAACCAGTGAGGATTGTGAGGCACTCCAAAGGGATCTGTCAAAGATGGGCAAGTGGGCGTCAACATGGCAAATGGGGTTCAATGTGGCCAAGTGCAAGGTGATGCACATTGGAGCCAAAAATCCTAAATATAAATACACATTGATGGGGTCTGAACTGGCAGAGACAGATCAAGAGAGAGATCTTGGAGTTGTAGTAGATAACTCACTGAAAATGTCGAGACAGTGTGTGACTGCAATAAAGAAGGCCAATGCTATGCTGGGGATTATTAGGAAGGGTATTGTAAACAGATCAGCCAATATCATAATGCCGCTATATAAATCAATGGTGCGACCTCATCTGGAATACTGTGTGCAATTCTGGTCACCACACCTTAAAAAGGATATTATAGCTTTGGAAAAAGTGCAGAAAAGAGCAACTCGAATGATAAAAGGGTTGGAACACTTTCCCTATGAGGAAAGGTTAAAGCGCTTAGGGCTCTTTAGCTTGGAGAAAAGACGACTGAGGGGTGACATGATCGAGGTTTATAAGATTATGCATGGGAAAGAGCAGGTAGAGAAAGAGGTACTTTTCTCCCTTTCTCACAATACAAGAACCCGTGGGCACTCCATGAAATTGCTGAGCGGTCGGGTTAGAACGGATAAAAGGAAGTACTTCTTCACCCAAAGAGTGATTAACACTTGGAATTCACTGCCACAGGAAGTGGTGGCAGCTACAAGCATGGACGGCTTCAAAAGGGAATTAGATAAGCATATGGAGCAGAGGTCCATCAGTGGCTATTAGCCACAAGGTATAGATAGGGACTCTGGGGCAAGTGATGCTCTGTCATCTTGGTGCTTGGGGTGGTCAACAGTGGGAGGGCTTCTAATGTCCTGGCCCCACTGGTGGACCTCCTGATGGCACTGGTATTTCTGGCCACTGTGTGATACAGAGTGTTGGACTGGATGGGCCTTTGGCCTGATCCAACATTGGCATCTCTTATGTTCTTATGCATTCTGTGTCTTTCAGCTAGATGAGCTGCTTCCTGCTTAACTAGTTTCAGTCAGTAGCTATTTAGTAAGCAAATATGCACTCGTTAAAGACTGTCCAAGATAAGTGAACAGAAAGCTGCTTGGCAAACTTTTGGGTGAGAGGCAGAATTCCAGATAGATTTTTCTTCCCCATCCAATTCCTCATGGGCTTTCAGCTTATAAGATTCTAAGTAATAATTGAGGTGAAACCTGGTGTTATTACTGGAGAACTTTGCAAGGTGGTGGCAGAAACATGGAGGCTACTTTCTCAGCCCTGAGTGCTTGGCATGTAACCATACTCAGCAACTGCACGTGTATAGCACTGAGTAAGTAGCAGCCATGATCCCACTGCTGCACTGCAGTTCCCTTTGGCAGGGAAAATTAGGTTCCCCCTCAACTGCCCCTCATCATCAGAAGCTTTCTCCTTCTGGTGGATTATTACACATGTTGCTACTGTCCTGTTTTGCTTTCTGGCCCCTGATGTCATTCTGTCCCCCCTGCCCAATAGGATTTTTGGCATTCTGACTTTTTATTTCTCTGTCTTCACAGAGTTGTAACACAGAATAATTCTGTGCAAGGCTGCTTTTAACACCACAGTTTTTAGCATTTATATAGTACGTTTTTAAAAGATGTTGTAAGGCCTAGTAGTACGTACTGACATGTCAGAAATTTTAAAATAACGGAAAAATGAAATATATTTTTCACTGCATCCTTTTGCTGGAATAACTGTTACTGTTTTAAACTGAGATTAGACCATTGTGCATTTTTTGCCAGGCCATTTTTCTGCAAGGGTAGAGATCCTTACCTTTACCTTAAAATCCCAGTTTTTAACTTCATGCAGATCAGCCAAGTGTGAAAGCAGGCTATATACTGGTCAGATTGTGAGAGATGTCTAATTTAGCAGCAAATGCTAAGATATGAAGGTTCTAAAATGAAAAAAAAAGATGTTGAAGTAATGCAACATGAAAGAAATGTGGTTGGACAGACATGCAGAATAAGTTCAAATATTGTACTGGCCTTTTTAATGCAAGATGTGATAGTTTGTGTTACATCATTCAGTGTGCAAGCTGCTGTCTTTGGGGCATTGAATGTATTACCATTAATTGAATAATATTTTTGTAGAGCCAGACTCTGTGTGTCCCAGCATTTAGAGAGTGTGATTCCAGTCGTGGAAGAAACCAAGCTGCCATGTACGTAAGAATATTTTGCATTTAGTAAAGCTTCTTAGAGATTTAGTGTTATGTCACTTTGTTTTATGACAGAGGATAAAATACATTTTTACAGTATAATTGTTTTCTGAAGTAGGTTTATGGTGATGGAAGGTGGTTCATACTAACTCAAAATAAATACAAGGCTGGTTGATAGAAAATGAGTTTTCATATTATTTGGGTATTTCTAAGACGAAAAATTATCTCTTAAGCTATATTATGAGTATACTGTACTAAAATCATGAAAACGGATCTAGAAGCATATGTTCTAAAACGATGGCATATAGGAAATGTAATAATTCACCACTGAATCATAATTTTGATGGAGCCAACTGTAAAGCAGAGCACTGAGGAAAGGTTCAGGGACACTCCTTTAGCCTCACAGGAGTACTAAATGGATCATGTGTGATTTTGACAGGTTTTAGAAAATGTACTGAATAATATTTTTAATTCAAAGCTTAAGAATATGCCATAATTTTGAAGCTACAATTCGGTATGTTTAAATATATCCAGGAAACATACTTGTTTCCTGACTTAGTAATGCATAGAATTCATTAATTGGTTCATGAGAACTGAATGGACTGTTATAACCAGCGATCCCTACTCTTTAGACCAACATGTTATCCAAGGAGTGAATAGCCATTGCTTTGTAATCCGTTCTCCTTCAGGCATGTATCCTGTTGATTTATTTATTCTGTTTATTTTACAATGTATATTTTGCCTTTCAACCCCAAACAGTGATGTCACTGTGGACAGAAGGAGGGTTATTGATTCAAAATTAATGTAGAAAATATTGTTCTCATTCAGTGGGGGAAGTAATCCAAGCTGGTTAGGTCACACTTCCTCTTGCTTTGCTGAGATGGAAGATGAAAAGATCTGAAGGAGAGCCTCTACAGCGGGGTCAAAGAAGAGGAAGGAGACAGTCAAAGAAATGCCTTTTCTTCCCAGAGCTCTGGGCATCGGAGATGAGGCAGAAAAGGGACCTGACGCCAGCAGCTGCTGCTGTGGGCAGAGCAGGAAGATCTGAAGCTTTGGATCTCTCCTTTGCTGCAAGTTGTGCAAGGGCCCCAGGCATGGGCCATGTGGAGCAGACGGTGGATGGAATCTTCTGATGGGACCCAAAAGCTTCCAAGTTGGCAGGTAGTGAATTCATCTGGCAGAGCAGGGTGATCTGAAGCTTTGGATCTCTCCCCTGTCATACCTCCAATAGAATATGTGTGAAGGTCCCTGCAGTTAGCAGTGGGCCATGTGGAGTAGATTGCAGCTGGAATCACAACAGCACACTCATTGACCTGAAGCTTCAGATCTCCCTTGCTGTGCCACTGACCGAAGACATGTGACATCCCCTATAGCGGGTCACACAGAGTAGATTGTGGCTGAAGTTGCCTTACGGGACTTGGAAGGGTCTGGCAGGAAGCAAGCTTATTGGAGAGGGAGGTGAGTGAAGCCCCCACACCCCCCCCCCCCCCCCCCAAGAAACCGCGGCGTGACGTGAGTGGGGCAGTTCTGAGGGCCAGGAGTGGCATGACGGAACAGGCCTTTTCCCCCCAGGCCATACGGGCCTTCTTGGGCCCACTGACAAGTGCAGGAGGCCAATATGGTGGCTGTGCCATTTTGCCCATCTTTCTCAGCCTGGAGATAGGTAGGCTGGCTGATGCAAGCCTACTTCCATTTCAACCCCCATTAGAGCTTCCCAGGATCCAGCCACCATGGGCAGGGGACTGTGCAGGAGCAGGGGATGGACAGGAACTAGCAGAACCCAATCAAAGGGGTAACCTTCCTACAGTCTATTGATCTCATAGCGACCGCAGGCATAATTAAGGAGAAGGGAGAGCACACGGTCTGGACCAAGTAGGGCAAGGCTGATGGACCTCCTTAGAAATGCAGAACAGCATCAACTGGTGGGAACCGCGAGCAAGCAGGTTAGCCCTAGTTGCTGCCCTGGACCTATTGTGAGACAGGAACGTGTTGTAAGGACTGACAGCACGATGGAGAAGGCTCACGTCGACTTTCAGTTTTCGTCGACTTGCGAACAAACACACTCCATCAAGCTCCGATGGGTGCGATTCGGATTGAGGCGGCAGGGAGGGGGTTCGGAAGCCTTCGAGCCCCCCCCCCCCCAAAGCTCTTGTAGGGAGCTTCTGGACTGGAGCGCTGGAAGACCCAAAGCTGCGGCTGAAGGATTGGGGCTTCTTTAGCTCCTTAAGGTCACACTGTCCTGAGGCCAGCAATGGTGACCAGAGACGTTACCAGACCAGAGCGCACAAGGACTTAAGCAAAAGGACTCTCCCTACGGGATGGCACCCAGCGAAAAAAATAGTGAGTGAAGTTTCAAAAGAAAGACAAAAGTAAAGAGGGTGGAGGAACTGACAGTGAGACGGCAAAGCCCCATAGAGAAAGGGGGGGAACTCTCAGGAGGAACAACCCTACCCTACAGCGCAGCAAAACGGGAAGCAAGCAGACAAAAAGCTGTTAGAAACCCACCCAAACCAAGCGGATCGCAGTGGGGCTCGTTATTCAGTCCAGAGAAAAACCTTAGAATTTTTAAGAACTTTTATCTTAATGTAAACAATGTCGCAGCGAGGGGGGGAAATGGCGTCCAGAGGCAGAGGCACCACAGGAAGTGCCAGCACAGCATCACCGGTCACAAGACCGGAAGCTACCACTGATTTAGCTGGTACAATTTCTGAACCCTTGCACTCCCTGTTGGATCAGCTAACGAATCTCAATAAGAAATTTGTTGATTTGCAGAAGGAGCTGAAGGAGACCAAAGACAAATCAGAGAAGACAGACAAAAAGCTAAAAAAGGTTGAAACTAAGACCAAAGAGATGGATCAAAGAATGGACATTTCTGATAAAGAAAGAGCTTCTGAAAAGCAACAATTACTACAATTGCAAGTGGAAAAATCCCTATATGTTTTAAGATTTCAAGGGATTCCGGGGGAAAAAAAGATGAAAATTTAAGAGAAATCCTAAGTGAAGCATTGCCCCCCCGATCAACAGCAAACCTGAAATATTGCAAGTGGGACATAGGCATGATTTATAGAACTTGTTCAGAGTTTGTGGGGAAAAAAATCTTCCAGGGGAAATATTTGTTAAATTTTAAAAAGATCAACAAGAGACTCAATTCAATTCAAATACCTTTTATTGGCATACAATATTGGAAGAGATAAAAACAAGAGACTCGATACTTAAAGCTTTACTGCCACAACATTAAAAATCCAAGAGGAAGAGATAAAAATACTGAAAGACGTTCCATTTGAAATACGTAAGAAGCAGAGGAAAAGAAGGCGACAAGAAAACAGTGATCATCAGGCGTCAGCCACTGACAGCTCCTCATCTACTTCGGTGTCCCTGGATGAAATCTTTGATTCTGATTTGGGATCTGCTGCACCCAGATCTTATAAGGTTAAAATCCCCTGGCAAAAGAAGAAGAAGTGCAACGACAAGAAGGCATTCAAATGAAGATCTGAGATTTTTCTATGTTAGAATTTAAAGAATTGATATTATTGCCCATATGCAATGCTAAAATTAAGAAATTTTTGTTCTTTCTATTTGAATACTTATTACTTAGAAATTAAATGGTATATTGTAAACATGAACATGTGGGGAAACATCCAAAGTGCAAGATAGATCACTATTGTACCTTGCTACTCTAAATTTGTAGTGTGTAGATTTATAGTTTATAGTGAAAAGCAATAAAAATTCTATAAAAAAAGGAAAGAAAAGGCTCACGTGAACCGCCAGGGCAGTACCAGAAACATTACTCTCTGCAAGGGAAGTGGAGATCCTCTTACAAAACAACACCTAATAAGTCTGAAGGCCCTACACCTGCAAGGCCTGTCAAACGTTCAACCTGATTGGCTGGGCAGAAAGGATTTGGGCTCAGGAGAAGGGGAAATAATCCACAACATCTTTTGGGAGGTCTCGACCTGGTTTGGTGTGCCAATAATTGATCTGCAGGCATTGCAGAACATGTACCAAAGTCCTATCAAGGTCCTCTGAACCATAAGCAGAGGGTGAAGATGTGCTGCTACTCCTCCTCTGAAACAAGACACTTCCAGTTATTTTTAAACTGGTTTAAATAAAGGGATCAAGGGTTTTTGCCCACAGCAGGCTTGTGAAACACAAATCTGGGGTTACTTTCATTTGGTCCAGCTATCTTTTACTTAAATGTGTAAGCGGAGAGACATGGCAATGAGGGGACCTGCAATCGAAGCCAGTGAAGGCTTAAGCATCTTTTAAAGACTCCAGTGTTACTGTGCCTACTGAACTTAAAATGTTCTTGCTTGTACACATGTTAGTCTCCGGTACTACCATTTAGAAAATGTCACCTATTTTGAAAGTGGTGTTGACTTCTTCCATCCAATGATGTTGATTTTTAGGGGGAAAATCCTGATCAACATGGAGCACAGTCTGATTTAGCATATTTATTTGGATTTATATGTACAAAACAAAAATGTAAAAGTAATCCATGTTGATTTCATGTCCCAATAGCAACAAATACTTGAGCTGAAATATTTGATCAGGGGAAAAACAATACTTGTGGGGAAATTGAAGACGGTACGGCATGCACTTCCTTATGTTACTTAAGAAGGAAACTGACACACTCATTTCAGCACAGCCACATAATTGTGCATGGTATGCCATGGAATTTACCTCTCATCCGCTGAGCTCACCAGATACCTCATCAGTTGAAGTACACAGTCTGGGTGGATACACATAAGAATTTTACCTTTGGTTTTTAATTGGCCTGCATAGCCTATTAAATGAATTCATGGCTTGCCTTTTAAAATGGACTTATTATATGCATTTGTGAGTCCCTAGCATTCTACCAGGGCAGAAGCCACTTCAACGGCCTTTTTTCCACTAGAGTTCCCACAGATGAGATCTGTACAACAGCTACTGGGATGGACCAGCAGGTCTCTATTGAGACGGCCTTTGGGGGAAGAGTGTTATGGCAAGTAGTAGGGTGAGATGATAATTATAAAAGCCATCTTTCTGAGTCTCTCCCACCCTATCAGTCAGCTTTGGCATGTAACCAGCTTGGATGACTTGGACTTACCTCAACATTGGACTTACCTCAAGCTTTCTTCTCTTCAGTGGGGCGAAGTCCACCCTCACACAAAAAAGGACAATATATAGTTATTAGTAGGTTGGGAAGGAAAAGTAGAGGCGAATATGGAGCTAGGCTTTTGGACTGGAGGGGAGGTCTCACTCCGCCCCCAGAGATGCCATACAAAAATTTGCATAGCCCTGCCTGGACCGAAAGGAGGCATGATCTAACCAGCTTGGATGACTTTGCCTCACTAAAGAGAAGAAACCTTCAGGTAAGTCCAGTGTTTATTTCTGAAAATTAGTGATAAAAAATAATGAGGGCGGGGTTTCTTTAATAATGGTATTTATTTTTTTAAAAATCTCAATAAATTTCAACTGTTCCTCTTAGGGCAATTCTAAAGCCTGACTTCACTGTCACTGTAAATAAGCAAGGCAAAACATTCACAAGTGAACTTGAAGATAATGCAGACAAAAATTATTTGGATTTTTTATCTGATTCCTGGCAAGATATGGAAAATAACTCCACAGGCCTAGTGCTGCAGACAAATGAAGGTAAGTAGTCCCATGTTTTGTTTTGTTTTAGATGTAAGTGTTGAAGACTCTGTTTGGGATACAAAGAACTTAATTTGATACCCCGGGTCTTTGGACTTCTGGTTTGCAGACCACAACATCACCACCATTCCATGTTACTTAAACTAATTTTAAATCTCCTGTAATTTTCCCTCCATGCTTTCTCCAAGGAAATGTTATATGGTTCTCATCTCACAATCTGCCATGTGCTGAAGTGGAGTTGAAGTGTAAACAAGAATGGCTTAGTTCTTCATGCCTTAAGGCAAAATAGTTTCTAAAAAACTTTCTTCCTCATGATCCTTACCTACTTCCTTCTGGGTTACCCTTCTTTTTCTATTTAAAGGAAAGGGGTGCTCTCTACACCTCGGTCATTTAAATTCTGTATTCGTCAGTGTGACTTTCTAGCTGAGGTCTGGGCTGATAACTCTGTTCTTCCCAGGCCAAATTAATCTCTGTATTTGTGGCCCTGAATTGTCCTGTGCCTGTGAAACTGACTCTTTTGTAGCTTTTCCATTGCTAGCTCTTTACTTGTAGAAAGGCACTTTAGGCACATAAAGAGTGCAGACCCAGTTGCAACTCTGACATGAATCCTGAGATGTAGGCCATTTCTTCACAGTGCATATCGAGATGATTATATGTAGCACATTCTTCCCATGCATGTGGTAAAATACAGCAAATGAAAACTATGTTCAGCAGAATCAGGAAAACAGGGTTCTATTGAACACTATGGAAATACTTCTCATGGGTGTGTTATGAGTGGATTGTGCCCTTTGTTTGCTGTATCACAGCTGTGTTCATTATTACTATTCTAATATGTTCACTATTCTGTCAAGCCTTTTTAACCATATGTGTTCTCTCTGAAAATACTGCATGCTAATTGTAGTATTCTTAGGTTTAATTAATTGTTCTAGAAATAATCTTGGATATCCGCTGTGCATTTGTTTAACCTGAACTACTGAAGTGGTCAGCAAATTGTTTCTTAGGTCTATACAAATGGCAATTGACATATGTTATCTTAAATTATCAGGGTGGCAAAATAGTTTTCGTGAGGATTGTCAACCATTTGAGAGCAGAAGTACCTCATCAAATGAACAGAGTAAGCAAGTTGGTAATTCCTTACCTAAAAGTGTATCTACCCGGCGTCACTATTTAAAGAACCAAGACCAAAGTGAATTATGTGTTTCTGATGGTAACAATTTAGAAATAACTGACCAGATTAAAGAATCTTGTGAACAAGACAAAACTAGACCTGAGAAAGATCTAGAGATTCATAATGAACAGTTCGAAGAAGTCCATCCTTGTACAGAGAATATGTATGATACAAACAGAGATCAAAGCTTGGTGTGTTCATATATGCTGACTGAATCCAGTACATCAACAACTGATCTAAAGGAAACTAATTTTAATAGTATTGGTGATTCGCAAACACAGAAGGAGAGAGGTCAAAAAAGGAAACTGGAAGAAGTGAAAAATCGTTCCAGGACAAGATCAAAAAAGAAAAGTCAGAGTAAGCGTTCCTGTTCCAAAGAAAAATCAGATTCATCTGTGGGCTCCAGTGATGCTTATAACTTTATTTTTGAGGAGAGCATCCATATTACACCTTTCCGACAGAACAAAAAAAATGAGAATATCACAGACAATAAAAGTTATGTAGAAGAAATGTGTAGTGATTTGTCATCAGACGATAACTCTGATGACAGTCTCTATGTGCCTTACAAAAACAAATCAAAATCTGGGGAAACATTAAGCCATGGAAGCGATGCAGCCCCAGTATGCACAAGATGGCAATCCAAAACTACTGTTTCAGAACAGCATGAAAGAACTACTGAAGGAAAAATGTCTATAGGTAAGTAGACCATTGAAAGTTATGTTCCCTTCCAATTCATTATTGTGCTTTTACGAATTAAATGTGTATGTAATTAAAGTATATCTGAAGAAGTGAGCAGTGACTCACAAAAGCTCAAACCCTGGCACAAATTCTGTTAGTCTTTAAGGTGCTACTGGACACTTGTTCTTTTCTATGTAATTAAAACAGAGACATCTGCAACTAACTTTCCTATAGATATAATTGAGCTGTTACATTCTTTCAAAACTGAATAATCTTAGACTTAATTTTTGTGTGTTTGCATTTTGCTTCCAAATAGATATATTTAGATATATTTCCATGAAATCTTTATTATTGTCCTGTTCTTGACTGTGCCATGTAAGAATTGACATTGTTTTGCTCTCTTCCCTGTATTTATTAATGTGACACACAGTATTTCCTCATGTTTAACATGAACAATATGGAGAAAAAAGTACAGCTCTGACAAGGAGCCTTGCTCTGTTTCCTACATGGAATATTGATTTGCATGCTCCAGAATCTGCTTTGTTATCTCATGTTGAAAGTTGATCCTAGGAGTCTCTAAGTGGACCAGACCTTCAACCCTCTGGATTTTAACCTAAAATTCTCTGGATTCCAGAGAAAGTCATAGTTACTTGTACAACTTGATATAGTGGCACCCAGTTCCAGCCACTAAGTGCTCTGTGTGTGTGTGTGTGTGTGTGCCCACACCCCTTAAAATAAACAAATAGCTGTTACAACAGAGGATAGTAAAAGTTGGGGTACTCTAAGGAACTGTATTGGGGCTTGCCAGCAATGGAATTGGAGGCAGTGTGTCTTACAAACACATACCAGGGCAAAGAACAGGGATTGCAAATTAGAATAATACAAGTGGAGACCCGCAAGAAACATTCGGGATGGTTATCGTATTCCTCACACCTTTGCTTCCTCCTGTCTCCCTCTACCTCTCCCACACTCTCCCTTCTGCCCCCCTTTCTTTCTCTCTCTCCTCCATGTATGGTTTGGAGGGTGAAGTCTATGGCATTATAGTGATCTGTAGTTCCTCCCCTCCTCAAATCCCACCCTCCCCTTGCCCCACCCCACAAATGTCCAGGAATTTCCAGCCTCCAGGTGGGACCTGGGGATGCCTGGAATTATTGCTCATCTCCAGACTACAGAGATAACTTTCCATGGAGAAAATGGACGCTTTGGAGGTTGGACTCTGTGACATTGTACCCCACTAAGGTCCCTGTCCTCCCCAGGCTCCACCTGCAAATCTCCAGGTGTTTCCCAGCCTGGATCTGGCAACCTTATCCACAATCCCCTGCCGGTGGCGGGAGGGGGGGACCTGGCGACCCTAAACTGCTGCCAGGCCTAGGGTTGCAAATCTCTAAGTGGGGCCTGGAGGCCCACCACCCCAGAATTACAACTAAACTCAAGACAGCAGAGATCTGTCTCCCTGGAGAAAATGGCTGCTTTGGAGCGTGGACTCTGTGGCATTATACCCAGCTGAGGCCTCTCCCTTCCCCAAACCCAGCCCTCCTTACAGTCCACCTCAAAACCTCTAGAGATTCCCCAGGCTGGCACTGGCAGCCCTTGTCAGGCCTGGCCCCAAGGCTCCCTCCTTCAGAGGCCAGGAAAGGGCCCTTCCCCCACCCTTTTACTGGCAGAGCCAGTTAGAAGGGCCCCCCCCAGCCACCGTGAACGTTCTAATCTCTCTCTCACCGTTGATCCCTGGAGTTAGATCCCTGCAGAGGCCATTTCAAAAGGTATTGGGGGGCATTCAACCCTCCCTGAAGGGATTTTTTTACTTCTTGGATTTTTCTGCAGACACAGGAAGTCTACTGACTATGTAGGAAAAGCTGTTGGGGGAAAGTGAGCCCTCTGTTCGCAGAAATAAGTATCCACACAACCCGCCCCCTGTTGGAATTAGATATATAGATGACAAAGGTGGAGGCTTACTGTGTATTGCCATACCATATGTTACAGGCAAATATGGAGATAATACGTCTGTAACTGGGGAAAACAGTGGATCTAATTCTGTAATGAAAATTGCTGAAAAGGTTCCGTGTTACATTTTCACTGTAGTGGACAAAGAAAAGGAAAACAAGATGAGTTCTTCTGAAAATATCAGCTTTAAAAAAGGTAATTTCATTGCTTTGATAGTCTTATTCCTTTGTCTGTGGACAGCTTTTAAACAGAACGAAGTATGTTAATCTACATATAAAGATATTTCTAATTTGTCAACAAGTAATATGTCAACAGGTATGACATAACAAATTTCAAAGATGTTTTTAAAAGGGTAATACACTTTAATTTGTGTATATTCATACAGTTTATTAATGTTAAATCCCAATTCTACACATTTATTTATTTATTTATTTCTTCGACTTACTACCCCGCTCTAACCCCCGAAGGGGTCTCTGAGCGGCTACAGTTACTCATTATCCCTAACCTATGGCTACAATTCTTAGGGGTGGGGACATCCCTACCGGCACCCAGTGGAGGAGTTTTTAAAGCAAACTCACTGTTTTGATGGAGGCTTACTCTCAAATAAGCATGCATAAGATAGATTCACAAACAGTAGATCCAGACAAGTGGGAGCCATTCAGTAGCCAATAGAAATTATGCTGCTTGTCTGACACACTTGACATAACTGCATGGCAAAGTGGTGATCTTTAGCCTCCATCTACATAGCTATTCTCAGGGTTGTGCCCAGTCAGCAGCTGCTTTGGATAATACTGGGCTTAATTTTGTGATAGTAGATTACTGACAAGTGTGTTTCTGATTAATGCGGGTGTCATTCAGTTAGATGTCTGCATTGTTTACTTCATTTATAGCCTGCCTTTCTCTCCAATGGGGAGTGTCTTACATCGTTTATACTTAAAACAGCCCTGTGAGGTAGGTTAGACTGGGAGTGCGTGACTGGTCCAAAATCACCCAGCAAGCTTCTAGAGCAGAGTGGGGAACTGAGCCTGAGTCTTGATCCTGATCCTGGTCCAACACTCTTAATCTCTACACCACATATTTAAGTAATCTGGATCTACGACTCAAGTTTGGTTGTGAACAGTAACATGAAGTAACCTTTTGTTCTGGTGGAGGGGCAGTTGGGCATGTACTTGTGCTTGTGGGAACATTGCTGGGCTGAGGAGAGGGGATGAAATTGTTTCTGTATCTTACATCAAGGGAGCTTCATTGACACAAGAGGAGGCAGAACATATTCCTTAGCACCTTCCCAATGTGCATGACTTTTTAGTCGCCATGGGTCCCATGGTCCCAGGCATCAGCTGTTGGAAGGAAGTGAACATAGGAAAGATCTGTGATCTTTGCACTCATGGATTGCTAAGATCACTCTGATCGGACCCTGGTTAGTATGTGGGTAGGAGACCACCAAGTCCAGAGTTGCAGCACAAAGGTATGCAATGGCAAACCACCTGGGGTTGCCATAAGTCAGCTGTGACTGGACAGCAAAACAAACCAAACCCCCAATTAGAGTGGAAGAGAGGCAAACTAATACTGGTAATTCTTTGAACAGGTAAACGTTCTGAGGATCTTAAGAAATGTTGTCATCTCGGCGATATTACCAACCTTACGTCATCTTCTCCCAAAACTAGAGATTCTCATTCTACCATCGCTACTGGTGAAAAAGATTCTTTTCCTCACAGACGCAGATGTACCATTAGTATGTCCTATAAGGAACCACCTATCAACAGGTTAGTGCCTTCATCTTCATTTCAGTTCAATCAAAAAAAGCTGCAAAGTGTAAAACTCACTGAAAATGTCAAGACAGTGTGTGACTGCAATAAAAAAGGCCAATGCTATGCTGGGGATTATTAGGAAGGGTATTGAAAACAGATCAGCCAATATCATTATGCCCCTATATAAATCAATGGTGCCTCATTTGGAATACTGTGTGCAGTTCTGATCACCACATCTTAAAAAGGATATTATAGCTTTGGGAAAAGTGCAGAAAAGGGCAACTCGAATGATAAAAGGGTTGGAACACTTTCCCTATGAGGAAAGGTTAAAGCGCTTAGGGCTCTTTAGCTTGGAGAAACGACGACTGAGGGGTGACATGATCTAGGTTTATAAGATTATGCATGGGATAGAGCAGGTAGAGAAAGAGGTACTTTTCTCCCTTTCTCACAATACAAGAACTCGTGGGCACTCTATGAAATTGCTGAGTGGTTGGGTTAGAATGGATAAAAGGAAGTACTTCTTCACCCAAAGAGTGATTAACACATGGAATTCACTGCCACAGGAAGTGGTGGCAGCTACAAGCATGGACGGCTTCAAAAGGGAATTAGATAAGCATATGGAGCAGAGGCCCATCAGTGGCTATTAGCCACAAGGTATAGATAGGGACTCTGGGGCAAGTGATGCTCTGTCATCTTGGTGCTTGGGGGGGGTCAACAGTGGGAGGGCTTCTAATGTCCTGGCCCCACTGGTGGACCTCCTGATGGCACTGGTATTTCTGGCCACTGTGGGATACAAATGCTTTCCTTCGAAGATGATTGGATTTTGTGATTATGTAGGATCTTTGCACCATGCATGCTTCTTTTGAGCGCTGTGGAACTCTCTGCCTCTCACTTTCATCATGGAATTCCAGTGTTTTTTTCAGTGAGCCTTAAAGTGCATAGCAGGAGAAGCCACGAGCTACCTCTGCAGTGCCTTGGAAAGGAGGCACATGTGGAGCACAGGTGTTGAACATAAGAACATAAGAGAAGCCAATGTTGGATTGGGCCAATGGCCCATCCAGTCCAACACTCTGTCACACAGTGGCCAAAAATACCAGGTGCCATCAGGAGGTTCACCAGTGGGGCCAGGACATTAGAAGCCCTAATACAGAGCATCACTTGCCCCGGAGTCCCTATGTATAAAGTAGAGGTAAAGGTTCCCTTGCTCGAAAGCCAGTCAAATCCGACTCTAGGGTTGCGGTGCTCATCTCCGTTTCAAAGCCGAAGACCAGCGCTGTCCGAAGACATTTCCATGGTCATGTGGCTGGCATGACTAAACACCAAGGCGCACGGGACGCTGTTACCTTCCCGCTGAAGTGGTACCTATTTATCTACTTGCAATTTCTTGCTTTCGAACTGCTAGGTTGGCAGGAGCTGGAACTAGAGATGGGAGCTCACTCCGTCATGCGGCACACTTGGGTCTTGAACTGCTGAACTACCGACCTTCCACAGCCTGCAGTTCAGCATCTTAACCACTTGAGCCACTGCAGCTTTTGTCCCTATCTGTACCTTGTGGCTAATAGCCACCAATGGACCTCTGCTCCATATGCTTATCTAATTGTTGAATCCAAGGTTATGCATTTAACTGTACTAACGAAGGCAAGAATAATATTGAACATTTTCAAAAATGAGCTTATTGTATCATAATTTGTTTCCCTAGGAAGCTTCGACGGGGAGACCCTTTCACAGATACCGATTTTCTGAATTCTCCCATTTTTAAGGAGAAAAAGAGCTCCAAGTCAGTTAAAAAGAAATCACTGTCCAGATACAATGAGGCGTTTGTTGGTTCCCTTTGAGAACCTTTTTCCATGCAAAATGTATGACTTCATCTGTTAGTTCAAATGTTCTTATGGTGTAAAGAGTATTTTAGCCAGATTGTGTTGCTATGAAATCTGAACTGTATATTTGTACATACAGCTGTTCTACTTATGGGTTTAGATGTGATTAGCACTTTAGTAACACTTCCCTATCACACACACACAGACATACTATGACTTCCGTATTACATATTAAAAATCAATAGCCGTGTAACTGAAATATGTAAATAGGAAACTAGTTCCTTCTCAGCTGACAGAGAAAAGAGAATTCTGTCCTTCAGTCTCTCTTCCCCTCTTCCCTTCCCTTTATATTATGGAAATTATACTGCCTATGTGTTTTATAATTAATTTTGGTGTCCTGGGAATTACAATTCCCAGGAAGCACTTAATTTGGGAGGGGGTAGTGAGGAATACCATTGCATCACTCCCTATAAGCAGGGCAGGTAAACAGGGTTAGCTGGGTGGAAGGAAGTCTGGCTTGGATTTACTACTGGAGATGGAGAAGAAATGGGCAGCTCTGTAGCTCACCTCACTTTGAAGTGGGCTTTCCAAGCAAAGTAGTTCACGTGTACATTGAGCCAAAGGAGTATGAACTCTGTTTTACTGCCTCTGTTTGGGTGGAATGCCCATTCTACAGAAGCATAAGGTTGATTTGTAAGCCTTATAAACTTGAGTTTAGTGTGAACCGCAAATCAGTCTAGCAGTGTATTGATTAATTTCTTTGTAGAGGTTTCTCAACTGTCATTTACCGTTACTGAAATTTGTAATAAATATTCAATAAAGTATAAGACTACGACTGGTTCCTTCTCAGTTGACCGAGAAAATGAAATTCTGTCCTTCAATCTCCCCTCTTCCCCTCTTCCTTCCCTTTATATTATAGAAATTATATTGCCTATCACATTTTATAATTATTTGGTGGTCTGGGAATCACAGTTCGCTGGAAGCACTTAATTGGGGAGGGGGGGTAGTGAGGAATAAAGAAATTGGAATGAGGACACTGCAGGAATTCTCCCTTTGCTGTCATTGCACCATTCCCTATAAATACGGCAGGTTAACAGGGTTAGCTGAGTGGAAGGAAGCCTTTGGCTTGGATTTACTATCAGAAACGGAGAAGAAATGGGCAGCTCTGTAGCTCAACTCACTTTGAAGTGGGCTTTCCAAGCAAGCTGCTGTAGTTCACGTGTACGTTGAGCCAAAGGGGTATGAACTCTGCGTTTTACTGCCTCTACAGATGGATAAGGTTGGTTTTAGCCTTATGAACTTGTGTTCAGTGTGAAACAAATCAGTCTAGTAGTGTATCAATTTCTTTGTAGAGGTTTCACAACTGCCACCTACTGTTGCTGAAATCTGCAATAAAGATTTAATAAAAGTATAAGCTTTGAACTTATTTTCAGTTAGTGCGACTGGAAGAATTTCCAGTTCTGGCTGTGACTGAGTTATGTGCAGTTCCTCTCCCTCTGCATACCAGAGATTTGTTGCAGGTTACTTCTCTCAGGTCAGTGCCTGTCAAAGGAAAGGGGAAGCCTTGGAATCAAAAGTAGGGGCTAGATAACTTGATCCTTGCCCTTTTTTGGTAGTGCAAGTTTCCTAGGAAAAAAAATTGTGCCTTCTATTTTAAAACAAACCTTCCTTAGATAAGAATAACCTGTCATATTATAAACCCTCTCTCGCCTGTCTTTTTTTGGGCAAGGTGCTTGAGCTGATGAGTAGAGCAACTTCAGGTATATTTGGATAAGGTTTCTTCCATTGACCTTTTGTAATCTGGATTTCAGCTAGTCAGCCGTCTGATACAGTTGATCATGCCATGCTACAGACTTGTTCAGAGCAATATTTTGGGAAGTCTGACACTACCATTTGTTGGTTTTCATCTTTTCTTTCAGATTGGTAGCAGTGAGATTCAGTACATTGGGATTTAGCTTATGGTGTTCTTCAAGGTTTATGTGCTTTTCTTTGTGTTTTTCACTGTTTATAGAAGACTTACGCACGAGAGCATCCAGAGTTGAGTATCATCAACATGCCGATGATATCTTGGTGTATATGTCAACCTAAACCTCCCAGGTGATGGAGGCTGAGGCCAGGTGGGTGGGGGAGAACGTTGATAATGAATCCATACAAGATGGAGGTGATATTGTGTGGGAAAACAGATAATGCTGAATCTGAAGGGCCAAATTGTGACCTTATTTCTGAGAAAACAAAGTTGGTATAGTTGCTAGAAGTACCCACTTATATAAAACATTTTTATCCCAAGAAGCTCAGAGCAGCATACATAGTTCCCCTTTGTATTTAATTGAGAACTTTCTGCCCTTCCTGTAACTTGCTGATATAGGTGGCAGGGTCTAGGAGAGCTGAAAGCATCCAAATTAATACAACCTGTACTAATGTAATATCTTGGACAGTTGTAGCTAGGGGTGTACAAAAAACCCAGTATTTTTGGGGTTTGGGTATATTGATCCTGAAAAATATCAATATTTCCCGATATTCCCGAATCCCAATATCGGTATGGTATTGGGATTTGGGAAACATTTGGGATTCCTGAATTTTTCAGGTCCAATGGACTGGAGAAGAAAAAATTGATAGGATCAGCTGGGGTGATGGGAGCTGAGCTCTGTGCTGCCTTGGCTGGTACTGGCTCTTGGAGCCAGTCCCAGTTGAGGTGGTGCAGAGCTCTTAGCTCCCAGCACCCCAGCTGATCCTGGGCTGGCTCCTCTTTGTGGTGTTTCACCCCTTCTGTCCTGCTGGCTGAGGAAAGTCACAGACAGGAGGGGGTGAAGAGCCCCCTGGGAGGCTTTCCGTGGCGAGGAGGAGGGGGGGAAGTGCCCCCTGGGATTTCTGTGGCCAATAGACATGTTAGGGAAGAAGCCTGATACTTGTTTTATGGACTGCTTATTGCTTACACAATGGACTGCACAAACACATGGGCTCAGAAAATTGTACGCTTTAGGTCACCTGTTGTGATGACACACATAGAGGGTGCCTGCACATACCTTACATGTAAATAAGGTTTCAACAACACAGTTGTACAGCCTGATGAAGAGGCACAAATCTCCATTATTGTTAGCAATGAAACAACAACTTTGGGCAGAAACAGCCACCATAGCGAAGCTGCTTGTGGTCAGCCCATCGTCATGTAACTGCTTTGTTCCTGAGCTGGCATTTCCTGCCAGATGGACATTTGGTTATCAATGGAACTGGCCAACTTCATCAGCATGACAATGAAGCATCCTGACGCCTGGATTTCACACCTGTCCAGATGCCAGTCCTTCGATTAAGGTTTTAGGTTACAATATTGGCCATCCCTCCTAGGTAACCTCCCTCCCTACCTGCAACCAATAGGATTGTTGGGACGGACTAACAGGTAGGTGGGTCAAGAGGTTGGTACAGTTACCACCCACCTCTTGAACTCCCTATAACAGGAGAAAACCAGTCACCTGGCCCCTCCTGGCTAGCATTCCCCCAAGACAACCCCTGTCTGCTTTTACTCCCCTTGAGTCCCCCTTTCTGTCCCCAACCCTTGCCTCTACTATTGATCTCTTGATCTGCAGTCAAGAGACCCACGCGTTCCAGCTGGTTCTGGGCTTTCTACAGCCAGCGGAAAGGAGTGGGTGAAGTGCCTCCCAGGCGGCACTTCACTCCCTTTTGGCTGCTGCTTTGTCCAGCCAGCAGATAGGAGGGGATGCAGTGCCTTCTAGGATTTCTGCAGCCAGCAGACGGGATGAAATGACCCTTGGGATTTCCACGGCCTGCGGAGAGGAAGGGATGAAGTGCCTCCTTGGAGGCTTTCTGTGACCAGCAGAAAAGAGTGGCTGAAGTGCTCCCTGGGATTTCCATGGCCAGCAAGCAAGAGGGGATGACGTTCCCCCCAGAAGGCTTTCCATGGCCAGCAGAAAGGAGGGGGTGGTGCCCCTCATGTGTCAGCTCCTGCTGCCCCAGCAGATCCTGGGCTGGCTCCTTTTGCTGCAAGAGGAGCCAGCCAGCCCCAGCAGAGGCAATTTGGAGCTGAGAGCTTTGCGCTGCCTTGGCTGGGTCTGGCATGCGGTATAGCTGAACACGCCCAAATAAAAGCAAAAATTAAAACCCATCAGCTTTTTTCTGGCCCATATCGGCAGCCAAGTACAGATCTCTGATCTGTATTTGGCTTAATTAATACCCAAAAAATACCAATAAGGTTTCCCCCCAATATTGTTTTGGCTTGGTTCATGCCAGTCGCAAATCCCTAGTTGTAATGTACACTGGGTAATCTGGATAGTTCAATTAGTATAGAACGCTGGGACCTGCCTTTTGCTTGACAGTAGCTAGCACCAGCCTGTAACTCCAATTTTAAAACAGCTGCCTGTTTAATTCTGGGCTAAATTCAAAGTGCTGGTTTTAAAAGTCCACGTCCTTAATGCTCTGTCTCTCCCCTAGGTAGGACCAACCAATCACTGGCTGGCTATCTCACCATCTTTTGAAAGTGGCTTGCCTCCTTCCTATGAAAAATGTGATTAATCATCTTTTCTTTGGTAGTACACACCCTATAGAAGACTGCTTAAACTTGGGACAACTAGAATTATATAGCGTTTGCCCCAGCGTGGTAAATACCACTGTTACCATCTGAATGGCAAACTAGATATCAAAAGGCAGTCGTTAGAAATAAATAAACAGGAGCCTTTCCAGTGAGTTGTTAATGCCTTCACCATCTTAACCATAACCCAACAGAAAAAGTTAATGCAGGATGGCTCTGATGCTATCAAGCATTTCAAAGGCATTGAACAGTCTCTTAAATCTTTGCTTTCCAATGACAGACCCCTCAAAACCACAACTCACTCTTGTAGTGTGTGGTTCGATCAAGACTGCAGAACTGCCAGGGAAGAGTTAGTATATTACACCCGACAGATCCGCCATTGTAAGAAAGGAACATCTATAAACCTTCTTATCTCATTAAGGTCAGCCTATAAAAGCATCTGAGACAGCAGAAGACTGACCATGCTAAATTACTGTGGCAGGAACTAGTATTGGCAGTTCAAGAGAAGAGGGAGGCACGATTCTGGGAATTTATTTCTTTTGGTATAGGTAGACCTCCGCCTTTGTTGGAAGCCCAAATTTCCTGCAAAAGATTGGCACATACATTACAGCAAAGTATTTAGGGTTTCTGTTTTGCAGAAAGATATCGAGGCAGGAATGTTTTCATGACCTATCCATCTTGCCACAATGGCCTCCCGTCACTGAGACTGAGATCAGAGGACTTATTTCATCTCTTGTTTCTGGCAAGTCACCTGGTGAGGATTTGATTCCCCCAGAGTTGTTTACGTTCTTTCCTGATTGGTGGGCACCCATTTTAGCTAAGTTATTCACCTTTGGGGTGGAAACAGTATTGTAGCTCACGTGTTCAAAAGGGGAGTAAAGTGGACCCTCAAAACTACTGTCCAATAAGCTTACTCGACATAGCTGCCAAACTACAGTAAATGCTTTTACACAAGTTGTAGGAATGGGAGGCTTCCAATCATGTTATCCATCCTGAGCAAGCAGGCTTTAGAAAAGGACAATGTACCATCAATCACAGTCAAACTCTTTATTAACTACCCCTTCAAAGCATTAAGGGCCCCACTAACTCTTTGTATGTGGCTTTTGTAGACTTGAAAGCCACCTTTGTTTCAGTTGACAGAGAACATCTCTGGATGAAGTTGGCTGGCACAAATATAGATGAATGATTACTTTTTCTTCTACAGGAATTTCACTCCAACATCTCTGCAGAAATCAGGGTGGGTGGGTACCTCTGGTTCCTTAAAAGGAAATTCCAATTTTCAGGAGTAAAAACAGGGTGCATCCTGGCATCCCTGCTTTTTAATCTGTATCTAAATAATATCATCCCACTGCTATGTGGATCAGAGTTCATTTCTCCTTCACTGTGCTCTTGGGAAAATATCAATCCTTTTATATGCTGATTACATGGTTCTGGTCTCTCTTACATGCACTGGCCTTAAAAGGCTGCTACACAAATTAGGTGATTACTGTAAAGAAGAGGCCTTAAACATCAGTTATGCCAAGACCAAAGTTATGTTCTTTAGGAAAAGGTCTCGTAAGTTTAAGTGGACCACAGACAGAATCGCTGTAGACCAATGCAGCATCTTAAAATATTTGGGGGTAACCTTCAGCAAAACTCTTATCTTGGAGAGTTCACTTAGCTATAATTAGATCTAAAGATCAATAGGTGCTATTCTGAATATTTACTACATAAAAGGAGGTTTTCTGATAGATCCACAACTGAAGTTATATCAAAGCAAGACTATCCTTCAACTGCTATATGGTATACAGCAGAGGTGTTAAACCGAAGGCTCGTGGGCCAGAAGTGACCTGCCCAGGGCTTCAGTCAGGCTCATAGCTCTCCCCTCCCCTGCCTTCCCAGGGAGAGCAGGGCTACTGAACTTCCCAGCTGGCTGGGCCTTGTCTTCACTCTTCTCTCCACCAGCAGGAAGCTCCTCTGGGCTAAAGCACAAAAAAAGCTGCAAGGAATATGTGGAATGGATCTTCCTTTAAAGTCTCTAGGCCCAGACAGACTAGTCTCTGGGACTGGAATGACAGCCCCCAGAGTGAAATGACAGTCCCTGGGAGTAGCAGCTATGTTCTTGCAATGGAATTCCGCTCTGGGGGCTGTCATTCCAGTCCCAGAGTAGTCTGTCTGGGCTTAGAAACCTTAATGGAAAATCCATTCCGCATTTTCTTTGCAACTTTTTTTGAGCTGCAATGTATTTCAATGGAGAGGAGTTTCAGTTTCCAGTGTTTTCATGCCAGCTGAAGTTGTCTGCTTGCAAATAAAGGGCTGATGTTTTGAGCCACCTTGTCTCTGCTGAATGGACCTGAGAATGGGTGCCTGAGTGAGAACTCTAACCGGGGAACCCACAGCCAAAGGGGGCCATTACACCGGAGAGCCACTGCCATTCTGAGTAGACCGGGGGGGGGGGGGAGTGTGCAATGCCCTGCCATTTCATGCTTCCCTAGGTTCAGAGCATTTTATACTTTTAGCTGTGATCCTTTTGCTTTTTCTTGATGTTTTATTTTTAAAATTGCATCGCCAAATCCCACTATCCCCCTCCCTTTCCATTTTAGGTAGGCATCTTTTAAAGGGGGGGGGGGAGGTTTGGGAGGTGCCAATTACCAAAGACTGTTAAATAAAATCTGGCAAGAGCGTTACTGTTTTAAGCATGTTTGTATTTTAAGTTAAGAAACCCTTCAGTTGTGTTTATCAGTATCCTTTATAAAGTTAATATCTTTACTACCTGGCATTACATTTATGGCACACATGGCCTGGCCCAACAAAGTCCCATTTATGTCAGATATGGCCCTCGTAACAAATAAGTTCGACACCCCCCTGGTATAGAGGCTTGGGGTTGGAAAGATTGTCTGATCAAGAAACTGGAATCCATCCAAAATCCTTTTTTAAGGAGAATTCTAGCTCTACCTACAGGTACTCCTGAAGCTTTGATTCGAGCAGAACTTGGTTTGCCCTCAGTTAGGGCTTGTGTATGTGTAGCCTTGATAAGATTTTGGAGAAAGCAAAGCAATCACACCACTAATTTATTTTGTAGGCAATGTTACAAAACAACGTTGCAAAACAATGCTGCTTGGATAGCCTACTATAATAACACTCTCCATTGCTGTTCTACCGTAGTTTTCGGACCATAAGACGCACCTGACCATAAGACGCACCTAGTTTTTAGAGGAGGAAAACAGGGAAAAAAATATTCTGAACCCTGGGGCTGTCATTCCAGTTCCTGAACACTCCTGGCCCTGTCATTCCAGTTCCTGAACACTCCTGGCACACCCTGGGGCTGTCAATCTACTCTGTGGCCTGTCATTCCAGTTCCTGAACACTCCTGGCACACCCTGGGGTTCTCATTCCACTTTGTGGCCCTGTCATTCCAGTTCCTGAACACTCCTGGCACACCCTGGGGCTGTCAATCCACTCCGTGGCCCTGTCATTCCAGTTCCTGAACACTTCTAGCACACCCTGGGGCTGTCATTCCACTCTTGGCCCTGC